GGGTGACTGTGATGATGAAGTCTCAACATTAGAGGAATAGCAGTTGATTAGAAATTGATTCAAAAGCACACCCCAGAAGCATCAAAGTGCTTGCATCCTGGTTGATGGGCAAAATGAGAGGGTATAGACTTCAGTCACAGAGCAGATGCTTTTGTCTTTCATTGCAGAAGGCAGGTCTTTATAACTTCATGCAGAGAATCCGAAAATCTTTAGGCTAAAATCTGTTGCCAATTATAGCTGTGCAAAGTGTCCTGGAGAGCAGGCCTTCACACAGCTTTTCACCCACACAACTCGGGGGGACTTGCTTAAAGTGCACATTCAGTGTCCTCACCTGGTCCTACCAGGTGGGAGATTCTGGGGATGGGGTCTAGCCATCTGTATACCTTACAGCTTCCTCCTTCTTGTATGAGGTCAGGTTGGAAAATCTCTGGCCACAACAGTGGTGGAGGCATTAATCACTGAAATTGAACAAATACCAGATTTCGGGAGGTGATTGGATATGGTCTCTGTACCAGTGCTTTCAGCCAGCACTTCCTTGGTGTTTTTGGTATCATGGGTAAAATTCCACATTCGCAGAAGACAGGAGAGACACTGCGTACCCAGTTGGAAATGGGAAGGAACCATGTGGTGAGGGTTTTCTGCTTTGGTGGTGGAAGTGGCAGGAGATGGTTGCAGGTGCTGTACCTAAGTTGTGTGGGTCCAGGAGTGAGTTGGGTGCCCCCCGCAACCCCCACTGCACACCTGCAAGCTCTGCCTGGCAGGCTGGTGCTCTGGAATCATGGTTGGTGTGTGCAGGCAGGCCTGGGGCTGTCCATGGGCTCCTGTGTGGTTGTACAGTTGAGACACAACCACATATCTTGATGAATGGTGATTTCTTAAGATCATGTACCCCAAACCAACACAGAAAAAGATTAGATACTAAAGCCCGAGTTTCATCAAGTTTTAGCCCACACTCTTTGATTTCAGTTTCTGCTTTAAGTTTAATTACCCTCAATACTTTAAAAATAAGGCAATGTTGGACTTTTAATTATACAATGACTTTACCCCCATGGGTAAAGTCGGGAGTGATTTGCCTCCCCACCAACAGGGAACATTTGGCAATGTCTGAGGAAAGTTTTGGTTGAAGCAACTGGGAGACGGGGGAGAACCAGAGTTGATGGTGGAATCTAGAGGGTGGAGGCCAGGGATGTTGCTAAACATTTTGCAATACGCAAGACAACCTTGTGCAACGAAGAAGTACCCAGACCAAAAAGTCCATAGTGCCGAGGTGGAGAAGCCTGCAGCTGAGCAAGTGAATGCCTCTTATCTGTGTTGCACGTTAGGATTCTAAGTGAGCCCCCATGCAAAAAAAAAAAAGAGTTCCACAGATAAAACTAGTTTGAAATTAGCTACCTAGACTGTACAAAGATGACAGTCGGCTTGGGTGGATGACGGAGAACAAGGCTGACTTCTGGAATCAATAAGAGAGAAGTAATACATCCCTGAGAGCTCTGTGTGCCACAGGTGAGGCCCTGGGCTGTACTCCTGAGTGTGTTAGCTAAGCCATTGTCCCCTCTTCCCAAGCTCTCCCTCCCTGTTGGGTGGGGGCAGAAGAAGGTTTAGAACTGTACCCACACCTGCTCTTCCCAGCTTCTGGGCCCCAGCCTGCTGCGTTTGTCCCGTGCCCACGGGTGGCGTTGGCACTGCAGCCAATGGTGTCAGCTTTCACCACACAGTCTGTCTGTGGTGGTGGTGGGGGGGTTGCCACAGTCTGAGCATCTCCTTTCCCCCGCAGCCCTCCCCATACTGCTGTAGATACATTCATTCCTATTATCATTTCCTAGACCTGGGTTTCTAGAAAGTGGGACACTCAATCCAGACTCAATTATCACATCATCTCTGCATTTTCACAGAGCAAGTTGGTAGAGGAATCGCTGAAATCAGCTTTTAGAAATCACCTTTTTGGTGTATACAACACAGACACCCATATTACTTTTTTAGGTTAAAGCGATTAAAATGTATTTTGTTTTGGAACTAGTACGCTGCATCCTTAAATCATTGGAAGTTCCATGTTATAACACCCAGGCTTGAAATTGTCCCATCCAAGTTACAGACTTGGGGTAATGTTTCCTTTTCTGATTTCCTGCAGCGCCACTTGGTGTGCTTCCTCTGGGCCTCCCCAGCCCTCCAGGTGGGCTTTCCCCAAAGTTAAGCAGGCTCTGTCTGCTCTTTGTTCTTCCCCTTGGGATTCTCCTCTCTTTGCATCAGCCTTAACAACTACCTTTACCCAAATAGCTTCAGGCTCTGATCTGGCTGTGGCAGACCCTACCATTGACTCTTACAGATTCCCATTCTCCTTTCTTGCTGACAGAACCTTGTTTTGCTTGGGGAAGCAGCCTGCCCAGCTGGTAGAAAGTTCCCGTTAAACTGCAGTTGCAGGTATCCATGTGATGTAGTTCTGGCTAAAGGGCTATAAATGGAATGCTGTGAGGGATTTCCAGGATGTCTTCCCTGTCCTGATACAGGGGCCTCCCCTTCCTTTCTGTCTCATCCCTTTTCTCCTTCCTGCCTGGAATCTGGAGTGGAGGCCACATGCTAATGCAAGAGGAGCAGAGCTGATAGGCACTGGGGACACCTATGTCACTGCAAAGCCTGTGTGCCAGCCCTGATCTTCTTGTCCCTGGACTTCCCATTCTGGGAGGAAAAGAACCCCCCACTGGCTAAGAGCCATGATAATACCCAGATTTATGTTATGTACTGCCAGGTGCACCCCCTGACTGATCCTCCAGCTCCGATCCCTCCCGAGGGCTCCAAGCCTGGGTTTTCAGCTGTCCGTGGATTTATCCCCCTGATGGCCCACAGGTGTTTGGGACTCAGCAAGGCCAAACGGAACTTACCATCTCCTGTGACCTCTCTCTGCAAAGGGCTCCACTGTTCCCCGTCAATTGTGTTATCTTCCCTCCTACCTACTGGCCACATCTGATCTCCCTAAGCCTGTCAGTCTGCAGTGGGAAGCCCTCCTCCACCTGCCGTCCCCCTCACCTTTGCTGCAGCACAAGGTCTACAGCTGGGAGCACTGTGACAGCTCCTCATGAGCCCCCCCACAGGCCCGCCGCTCCCTCCTCTGCTGTCCCTGCTGCTTCCCCAGGGATTGTTCTCCATGTTTCATGCACCCTCCTGAATCCAGTCCTCAAGCGTTTCTCAGGGTCTCCCGTGACCACCTGTGATCCTCCACATTTTCACCCTGCTGGCCTAATGGCCTGTCTTAGGACAGGTTCCCTAGAAGCAGAGCCTGAAACAGGAGTTCAAGAACTCCTGGTTTACTGAGGGAGCTGCCAGGAGAAAGGGAGTGTGGGAGGACAGTGGGCACGGGAAGGAGCTGAGCAAAGCCTGGTCTCAGCTGATCCTCGGGGAGCTCTGAAGCGTGTACCGCCCTGGGTCGGCTAAGGTTTTGAGAATGATCATCACAGAGAAAGAGAAAGGTTGAATGCAAAGTAGTTCACCAGGCAGATCATTGGGAGGAATTCTCACCAGGAATCTGGACTGAGGGTACATCATGTGCAAAGGCACTGAGGCAACAATCTGGCACTTCCAAGGCTTCTAGCAGTACTTCTTTGTGGCTAGAAGGTGAAGACAAGTTTGTCACTTGGAGTCATAAAGACGAGCTGGGAGTCATTAAGCAGATACACATTTCAAAAGATGGCTTTGAGAGGACAGAATTAAGACAGGGGGTCCAGGTAAGTGACTTCCACTAAGGGAGTATCAATGGGCATGGGAAGTTCAAGAAGGTGTGATTAAGAGGCCTGCAGATTGATTATGAAAGGTTGAAATTTGGGGTTGACCTGCAGGATTTCAACTTGGATGACTGAGTGTATGGTACAGCTGCCAGACATCATATGGAATCGTTTGAGGTGAAAATAGCAGGCAGGTTGTTAGAAAGACCATTAGATACACAAGTCTGAGCTTGGTGAGGGGTCTGCATAGATGGGCTTGAGGTCCTGTTCCTTGAGGACGTGAGCAAAAGGCAAGTGGTGAACCAGAACTAAACTCTGCTGAGGGTAGAGACCGGGACCTGGAGTGGTGAGAGATGCGTGCGGGAGTCTAAGACCACAGAGGCCTTAAGGGAGGCGTGCTTCCAAAGCATTGCAGGCATGGTGGGCAGAGAGGGAGGGAAGACAGAGCAAGGCCCAAGCAGCTTGGCCAACATGGGGAGGGAAGCTGAGCATTCAGAGATTCTGTAGGTGTAAAAAAGGAGCTGGGGAGGAGAGAGCAGATACTGACCGAGGCCTGACCAAGGGTGTGCCTGTGAGGGGCTCTGAAGGAGGGTGCCTCTGGAGCAAATGGAATGGACTGTAGACGGGACTCTGATAGGGCTGAAACGAAAGCCTGTCCAGAAGTGAGGGCGACAGAGGGCAGCAGGTGCCCAAAGCTCTGTCAGATGGGTTGTGTAAAATAAGACTGGGTGCTGTACCATCCCTTCTGGGTAATAATATGGTGATACCAGCACTCGTTATCAATAATATAATTACTATGATAATATTAGTAATATGGTGATACCAGTACTTATTATGTGCAACCAGCGTTCCTCGTATTAATCCTAAGAGGTAGGCTATATTTTTATTCCCAGTTTACAGATGAGGAAACTGAGCTATTAGAGTAACTTGCTCAAAGCTTCACAGCTGGTGCGTGGCGAGGTGAGCCCGGGGTCAAGCAGTGGGTGCTGTGCCCTCATCCTTCCTCTCCTGAGATCCTCTCTAGTGTGATTAGAGAAAAAACCAAACACAAGGTTATTTTCCTGAGCATTTGAATGATTGTGTGAATGTGTTATATGGCAGTGGCGGTGAGAAGAGGAAGGGAGTCAGAGCCTCTCCTGTCCTTGCTTGATTTCCCTTTCCTGAAAGTGGCAGATGAGAATCATCAGATGTACCAGTCACTGCCTGGCAGGAAACCAGAAACAACAGAGACGCTTCAGGCAGGGAGGGCTGATGTCAAAGACGTTGGCAGGCCTGCAGATGCCCAAGGAAGAGAGAAGTAGCCAGAGATCCGGAAGCTGCTGTCATCCTGGGCTGAAGCTTACACTTGTCTCAAAGCTGCTGGAGGTGCCATTGCTTGTGTCAAGTACAGCCCTAGGACATGGAGTGTCCGCCGCCGCTGGAGTCACAGGTGGTCACCTCCATTGCCTACTCCTCTTGCTGCCCCGGCAGAAGTTCACCCAAACCGGGGGGAGAGGAAAGTTGCTTCTTTCCTCTTGTCTTCCAGTCTCCTACCAGGACATCCCATAGTCACAGTTAGCAGGAAGCCAGCTGGCAAAAGTCTGGGACACCTAGGATAGGCATACAGCCTGAGTGTCAGAGAAGACCAGAAACAGAGGGGCAGAGTAGAGCTGAGGACCACCGTGCCATCCAGCGCACCAGCGCCCATGGCAGGCAGAGGCGGAAATGGCGCTCTTCTAATCATACCACAGTCAGCTTTGCTCTCTGAAGGTCCATTTTAGGGTGAGCTGAGTGTCATTCTGATCAGAAGAATACAAGTTTATCTATGTACTGCTTATAGATAGTCTGATGGTTTGCACCACTTGGCTGATCATGCATTTAAGAAACCACAAGGTTGTGGTGTTTGAAAACCTTCCAGAGTCTAGTTCTAACTACTTATTTAAGAATTCAGTAGATTCTTCAGCAAAGGTTTTGAACAGTGAGGTCCTTGGCACTGTTTTTTGCAGCTATTCAAGTAGAGAGATACCTACCTATGGAAATTCTTGTACTCTAGTGCTACAAAGAATTGAAGTTGAGGGGGATAGATTGTTTACAGTAGTGAAAAAATGAAATCCTTAAATATCAGGTTATTTAAAAAAAAAAAACGTGTTGACTTAGACTCAGACTCCAAGAAGGGACTAGCAGTTACCAAAGGGGAGGAGTGGGGGAGGGTGGGTGGGGAGGGAAGGAGAAGGGGATTGAGGGGCATTATGAGTGGCACACATGGTGTTGGGGGGCTCACGGAGAAGACAGTAAGTAGTGAACAAGTGGTGACTCTGTGGCATCTTACTATGTTGATGGGCAGTGACTGCAGTGGGGTGGGGGGAGACTTGATAATATGGGTGAATGTAGTAATCACAATGTGTTTCATGTGAAAACTTCATAAGAGTATGTATCAGTGACACCATAATAAAAAAATGTATTGACTTTATTACAAATTAATAACATAACCACAGTAAAAGGTGTGAAGAAAAAAATTAACTTACGTAACTTTGTGGGTTTTGATTGAAATATATAGTTCATATACAATATTATATTGGTTTTAGGTGTACAATAGTGATTTGACAATTATATACATTACAAAATGCCCACCACCATAAGTGTAGTTTCCATCTGTCACCACATAAAGTTATTACGATGTTATTGACTATATTCCCTCTGCCGTACTTTTCATCCCTGTGGTTTATTTGTGTATAACTGAAAGTTTGTACCTCTCTACTCCCTTCACCTATTTCACCATTGCCAGCAACCACCAGTTTGTTCTCCGTATTTGAGTCTGTTTCTGGTTTGTTAGGTTCATTTCATTTTTTTTTAATTCCACAAAAAATGAAATGATACAGTATTTGTCTTTCTCTGACTTCACTTACCATAGTACCCTCCACGTCCATCCATGTTGTCAGAAGTGACAAGATTCCATTCTTTTTCTTTCATTTATTTCAATGACATTCCATTGTGTGTATGCACCCTCTTCTTTATCCACCCATCTATTCGTGGCCGCTGAGGTTGCTTCCATCTCTTGGTTATTGTAAATGATGCTACAGTGAACATAGGGGTGCTGTATCTCTTTGAATTAGTGTTTTTGTTTTCTTCTGGTGAATACCCAGAGTGGAATCAATGAATCATGGTCTTTCTGTTTGACTGCCAATTTAATAAAAGTTATCTTTCAAAGAAAATAGCACAACCCTAATGGGGGAAATGAAGTAATTAATGAGATACAACTTTTTCCCAACTGAAAGACTACAGATAATTAAGTTGAAATGTAGACTTTGCTTTTAATTAGCAATTGCTTAGGCAAGACAGAAGTTTCTCCATTACACGACAGTCCAGAGGCAGGCAGTCCTGGGTGGATTGGCAGCTCTGTCCGTGGGGTTGTTCAGGGACCCAGGCGCCTTCTCACTTGTTGTTCGCTACCCCTTGGATGATGTGTTCTCCATGTGATCCACAGTGGCTCGACGGGTGTCAGTATTTTAGCCAAAAGGAAGGGGATAAGGAGAAAGGAAAGTATGCCAGGAATGCTCCCTGGAAGTTGTACACGTTGCTTCTGCTCCTATCCCACTGGTTAGAATTTAGTCATAAGGCCACACCTCACTCCAAGAAATATTAATTCTGGGAGGCCATGTGCCCCCCTACAATCCAGAGTTCTGTAAGGTGGAAAGCTAATACGGGCCATTTCTTCTACATAGCACATGTCTACTGACATAGCAGTTTCTGCTATGATACCCCTGGCAGTATTATTTAAAGTAAAAAATTTGAGAATAAAATTAATTCAAAAGAATAAGTAGGCAAACATACCTGAAAACATATTTTTTAAAGATAAATTTCTCTTAAAATTGCCATATTTTCTTAGTGTAACACTTTTCTTCTATGTTTAATGTAGTTTCTTTTTCTTTAGTAATATAGTTTTTTTCTTTTTTTTTGTAAAGCACTTTCTTTTTTAAATTTTTTTTACTACAGAAAACTTTGAACATACAAAAGTATGAGAGTGTCTTGCCAATGGGTTTCAGTCCCGGGCAAGTTCACTATAGATTCAGTGTGACCAAAGAAATTGACAGCAAAATGTTCTTGGGGTGAAAGGGTTATACCCAACTTTATTTCCAGGTGGCAGGTCAGTCACTAGAATCCCGTTCACTCAGAGCGAGTCTGCATGCAGCAAGCCAGTCTCTGCCTCTGGGCCCTTCTGTCCTCATGGCCGTCCTCTGGGCCCCTCTCTTCTCATAGCCATCCTCTGGGCCTCACTGTCCACACAGCCATCCCACACAGCCATCCTCCAGGTCTCTCTGCACAGTCGTCCCACACAGCCATCCTCTGGGCCTCTGTCCTTGGCACTGCCACCACTCCAGCCTCTGCTCTGCTCTCCTGCAGCCTTGAAGCCCTGCCACTGTGTCACGCCCAGAGTACTGGGTGGAGCTCTTTTTATAGAGTCAACGGCTGTGTATTGCCCACAGGTGTGCAGTGAGCTAGTCAACCACGGTCAGGTGAGAATCCTGGCCACAGGAACTCTCATTTTATTCACAGAGAGTATTGAAACTTGTATGATGAGTCCATGTACTCAGGACCCAGCTTCAGCAGTTACCAGTTTAAAGCTAGTCTTGTCTCCTCTATTCCCCCACACACCAATTCCCTTCCTGATTTTTTTGAGGCAGACCTCATTTCTCCTGTTTCATCTGTAGATAGTTCCATATGTATCTCTAGAAGGTAAAGGCTCTTTTAAAATATTAGACTTTGTTTTGGGATAACTGTAGATTCAACATCTAGTTGTGAGAAATCTCATTACTTTTTACTCCATTTCCCCCCAATGGTTGCATCTTGCAAAACCATAGTACAATATTGTGGGATGTTGACATAGATACAGTCAAGACACAGAACATTTTCTTTCCCACGTTGTCCTTCTATAGCCACACTCAGCACCCCCTCCCTAACTCCTGACAACCACTGATCTGTTATCCACTGCTCTTTGTTATTTCAAGAGTGTTCTATAAATGGAATCATGCAATATGTAGCCTTTTGGTATTGGCTCAGCATAATCACCTCTGATCCATCCAGTGATGTGTATCAGTTGTCCATTTCTTTTTATTGCTGAGTGGTATTCCGTGGTATGGGTGGCCATGTAAAGGCCCTTAAAAACAATCTGCCTAACTCTTCCCTTGTTTCCCTCTGCCTGTCTTCTCCTCTCTTCACAGCAATGACAAGTGAGTACAGCTGTGGGAAACTGAGAAACGATTGCTCGAGACCCTCCCTGAAATGGTACAGCCGAGCTCAGAGCAAGATGAGAAGACCTAACTTGTTGTTAAAAGACATCCTCAAGTAAGTACGAGCCCTTAGGCCTAAGAGCACTCTGATTTGGGTCAACTGTGTAGAACTGGGAGGAAAATTCAATGAGAGCCCTAAAGATAACTCTCATACTTGATCGTACTTGGCCAAGGGATCATTTAAGGCACATGGGAGTAAAGATTCTGTGCACAGGTGCTGTGGGTTTACGCACCACGCTGACTGGGTGATAGTGTGGCACCCAGCCAGTGGGCCACCCAGGCCCTGTCCCTGAGAACAGCTCTTAAAGCGCACAGCTCTTCCTGCCGTTGTTTAGCAAAAGAGGGCCTTTCCCCTCAGCTGTTTTTAGTTCATTAAAGTCCCCTACAGGCATTTGAATAACATTAAGTATTAAACACTAAAAAGGGGTGACAGGGGCGTTTCATCCCAGTCATCTTATACTCTGATAAGTGATAGAATTGTTAAAGAAGGAACTTGTCAGTCTTCTTTGGTACCCAGCCAAGTCACATTGAAAATTATCCCTTTTCTATGTCTAAAGATAGAAATCCAACTCTGAAATTCAGTCTCCCATCTCACTTTACTAATTTAGGAGGTGCAGAAGAAGAGAGGTGGGAAGAGGAACTGTGTATTAATAAATACTTATATCATTTTCCACTTCCTTTTGTCATTACCAGTATTTATGGAGGCCTCCATGCACCTGGCACTGTGTTGGGTGCTGGCCGCTTAGCAGCAAACCTCACAGACCCGGGCCCACGCTGCTTACAGCGTGGGCAGGACAGGCTTGCAGCCAGGAATTACATACAGCATGATCACTGCTGTAGGTACAGGCCTACTTCTAACACCCTTGTTTTCCTTTTTTAATTTTTAAAAAAAATCAAAACAAGGGGATTATTCCATGCACTGAATATAATGCCTTTTCTGGGAGCTGGAGGAAGGAACAGCAATACTACATTTACAAAATTCAAAATTCAAAAGCTTTTAAAGGGACTCAGTAAAACATCGTTTTGACCCTGCTTGCCACATTTCCCCTCCCACTTAAAGATAACCAATGTGAATGGTCTTGTGTATATAGAAAGTGTAGTGTGTGTGTGTGTGTGTGTGTGTGTGTGTGTACACATATCCCTCCTCCCCAGTTTTACACAAATGGTGGCATCCTGTTCATTCAACATTGGACTCAATCCCGGGAAAAATTAAGATGCTTGTCTAAGTTTTCATGGGGAAGCCTGTTGAAATGAGAATCAAGAAGTCTTGCAAACAGTTCCTAGTAATACTTTTTTTGAATCATTCTTAAATATTAAGAAATATTTAGCATGTATTGTTACACTATACTATGCTAGTTGCTAAGTTTTAAAAACTGCCCCTTTCTTTAGCAAATAGATTATTTTTCCCTTAAGGCTATTTCTTAACTTTGTATTTTTAATAATGCACATTATTTAAAGTAGCAGTTCTTAAACTTTGGTTTAAAGTTTTTTAGAACTTTTAAAAAATTTTGTCAGTGTCACTTGGGGAGCTTATTAAGAATGAGATTTCTAGAGCCAGAACTAGATTCAGTTATTTCCCCTAATCCTGTGTATATGTAATGTGCCTGTGCATTTGAAACCACATTGCAGTGTGAATGGATTGGATCTTTAAAAGCAGTTTTGTAGGTGGTCTTAAGTGTGTGTAGTGGAACTGTCTCACCTGTCAGTCTCATTTCTGGGTTGAATTCTTTAGAGGAAGAATGAGTAGATGGTTTAATTTGGCTTCTTTTTTTTTTTGAGAGGTCATCTCTCATATTTATTGATCAAATGGTTGTTAACAACAATAAAATTCTGTATTGGGGACTCAATGCACAATCATTAATCAACCCCAAGCCTAGTTCTCAACAGTCTCCAATCTTCTGAAGCATAACGAACAAGTTCTTACATGGTGAACAAATTCTTACATAGTGAATAAATTCTTACATGGTGAACAGTGCAAGGGCAGTGATCACAGAAACTTTCGGTTTTGATCATGCATTATGAACTATAAACAATCAGGTCAAATATGAATATTTGTTTGATTTTTATACTTGATTTGTATGTGGATCCCACATTTCTCCCTTTATTATTATTATTATTATTATTATTATTATTATTTTTAATAAAATGCTGAAGTGGTAGGTAGATGCAAGATAAAGGTAGAAAACATAGTTTAGTGCTGTAAGAGGGCAAATGTAGATGATCAGGTGTGTGCCTATAGACTAAGTATTAATCCAAGCTAGACAAGGGCAACAAAACATCCACGGATGCAGAAGATTTCTCTCAAAACAGGGGGGGTGGGGTTCTAAGCCTCACCTCTGTTGAGTCCCCAATTTCTCACCTGATGGGCCCCCTGCGACTGTGCCTGTCTTAGGTTGTTCCTCCCTTGAGGAATCTTACTCGTCTCTGGCTAACCAGTCATCTTCCGGGGCCATACAGGGAAATGTAAAGTTGGTAAGTTGGCTTCTTTTTTTTAAAGAACTGACAGTATTTATCCCCCAGTTTTTAAAAATTGTGGTAAAATACACAAAACACAGAATTTACTATTTTGCCTGTTTCTAAGTGTACAGCCCAGCAATATTAATCACAGCCACTTGAGTTGTGCAGCTGTCACGTCATCCATCTCTAGAACCCTTTTTCTCCTGTAAAAGTGAAACTGTCCTCATTCAGCAGCTCCCTGTTCTCCTCCCCCCGGGCCCCTGGCAACCGTCCTTCTACTTTCTGTCTGATTTTGACAGCTCATGTAAGTGAAATCATACAGTGTTTGAAAGGAGGATGGTATTTTAAGGTGGCCAAAAACTGAAGCAGAGATTCTGTAGTTCAGAATCTATTACTTGTTTTTTTTTAAGCCCAGCAGGCTGCATTGTGATTCTGATTTTATTATGGTGCCTCTGCAGGAAAAAGTTTTTTCTGTATTCACTTAGAACAGAGACAGCCATAGATGACTAATTGATCAGGAAAATATGAAATGTATCGTGCCTTTAGTTGACCCCTGATGGAAGCTGAAGCACGGTATTTTCATGCTGCAGGCAAGCAAACTGTGTGGGTTAGGTATTCACTTACTTCACTTGACCTCTCTTGATTCTCCCATGACTGCATCATTATACCTAATTGATTTTTTTTTCAGGTTTATATTGCTTGTGTTTGGAGTATGGATCCTTTATATCCTCAAGTTAAATTATACTACAGAAGAATGTGACATGAAAAAAATGCATTATATGGACCCTGACCGTGTAAAGGTTAGATATTCTGTTGGTGTGGTTTATATGAACACATCTGCCAGTGTACACTTAAACAGTAATGTCACCTCTAAAGTGTTTTAAATAAGTGTTCATGAAAGTTATAAACAGAGACGAACACTTAATCTTAGCATTCCAAAACTAAAATCAGAGACAATCCCCCTAAAAACAACCGGTCCACCTACCTAAGCCATGGTATTCTTCCCCCATTTGCTGAGGCGGCGGTTGGGGGAAAGGGGGGAATGAGGTGAGGTCCATCAACACGCACGTGCTCTTAGAACAGGAAGAAATTCCTTTAGTACCACCTGTCATTCCTGTGTTTTATTTTTCATTTTAATGATTTCACATAGTATTTCAAGATTTTTTCCTTCAATGTGTATTTATTTTTCTAAGTCAATTGACATACTAACTGCTAATTTCATTGATTGTTTGAGTTGTTAAATTATCCAATCATGTTGAGCCCTGGATGAAAGAGGCGACATTTTACATAATGTAGCACACTCATAATGACAGCCTATATGTAGAGGTATTTTAGCTATGTTAAATTCTCATCATGACTGGGAGATATCCCAGTATCCTCTCTGTCTTACAGATGATGGCCTGGGAGGTTATGCTCACATCTAGTTTAGTTAACTAGTTTAGTTAATCTAGTTTCATGTATACTATAACTGTTCAGAAAGTGCTTTAGCAACATGAACTCATTTAAACCTCCTAACAGTCCCAGAGATGTAGATGCAATTACTAGCCCATGTCACAGCTGAGGAAGGAGAAGGGCAGGGAGCAACCTGTTCAAAGTTACCTCAGCTAGTTAAGTGGTAGAGCCACAGCTTGGACCTGGCAGTGCAGTTTCAGAACCCAAGCTCCTCCTGACTGCTCTCTGGGAGCTGGATGGGGAGTGTCCACAGAGAGGAAGCCAGAATTACAGGCAGTGTGTTGCAGAGAGGGAGAGAGCTTACACTTCTGACCTTGATTCAAATCTAAATGCTACTTGGTAGCCATGAGACCTTGGGCAAGTGACTTAGTTGTTTTGAGTTCCAGTTTTCTCAGCTGTGAAATGTAGATAACACCATCTATGTGACATGGTAGTCGTCAAAGATGAATAAGATAATTGACACAAAGCTCCTTTTTTAGTCCTGTTTTTTATTGACATTTCTACTGTAATCTGTATAACCTTAGAAATGTCTCAAATATAGTACAGACAAGTCAATGAAAAGAGCACAGTTAATAAATGCCCACTTGGCCTGTGCAGAGCCACTGTGTCTCAGAGGCCTGGCAGATCCCAGGGCCTTCCTGTCCTTACTGTGTCTGTCCTCAGATGTCTGCTGACTCAGTTCACTTCATCAGCATCAGCCCACCTGCTTTGGGGGAGCAGGTGATGTCCAGGGTCCTCTGCTCAGGTTTTCCCTGTCCTGTTGTTCTGGCTGGTCTTATGGGCACCTGAAAATCCCTTTCAGTTCCAGGGCCCTTCACAGCTCTCTTGGGTAAAGTTTTTAGACATCCTGGGGAAGGGCCAAAATGAAGACACTTGATAGGAGCCACTGCTCTCTGGGGGGCTTCTTGCCTTGCTCCTCTGCTAACCTCTGCACACTCTCTATGCATGCTCTCTCTCTTACCCATTTAATTAATCACGCCATTGACCATCCAACCAACTGCTAAGATAATTGTTCTCCAACCTCAGTTAACTGAGAAGAAATGTGAGCTCCCTTGTGCAAGAGTCAAACACACTATGTCACAAACACAAGATGGAGGCAACGTGGTGTGGTACCATCTTAGGTGAAATCAGCTTTGCAGTTTCACTGTCTGGGTAGTGCTATCTGTGTCAACATATGCTGTGGCGGCCTAGAGCCATTTTCCTTACTCCACATTAACAGATGAGGGATGGTCTTCTTGTCTCTGCAACCAGGGCGCTGATCATTGTGACTGTTACTCTTCAACAGCCCCCAAGGAATCTCTGGCCTGTAAGGCTCTTCCTGGCTTGGTTCCCACCGCTCTCTCCAGTGCTTGGCCATCTCACCATGCTACATGGCCTGTGTCAGGCACATTAAGCCTCTCACAGGTCCTTGCTTGAGCTTCTTTTTTTGTCTTTCTCATTATAGTTTTGATTTGCGTTTCCCAGATAACTAATAATTTTCAACATCTTTTCATGTGCTTCTTGGCCATTTATCTTCTAAGGAGAAATGTCTATTCAAATTCTTTGCCCAATTTTTAACTGGGTTATTTGTCTTTATAGTATTGAGTTGTAAGAGGTCTCTTTATATTCTTAATACAAGTCCCTTAATCAGGTCTGTGGTTTGAAAGTATTTTCTCCCATTCTGTGGGTTGTCTTTTCACTTTCTTGATGGTATCATTTTCAAAACAAAAGTTTCTGATTTTGATGAAGTCCAATGTGTCTATTTTTCCTTTTCTTCCTTGTGCTTTTGATGTCATATCTCAGAAACCATTGTCTAATCCTATGATTTCTGAGGCTTCTGTAGGTTTAGTTCTTATGTGTAGGTGTTTGACCATTTTTCGAGTTAGCTTTTTTATGTGGTGTGAGGTCAGGGTCCAGCTTCTTTCTTTTGCCTGTGGATATCCAGTTTTCCTAGCCCGATTTGTTGGAAAGACCTTGCCCTGTGTTTACTGCATCCTTTCTTCTCTGCCTGGAGCCCTTGCCTCTCTGGTACTTGCCTTTTACATCAAGTCTCAGCCCAGTGGTTACCTTTTCTAAGAAGCCTTCTCTGACCATCCTTCTCTGTCTTCTAGATACCCCTTTGTACCTTAATCCTAACACTTAACCACAATTGTGTTCTGTCTTCCTCACTTGTCCTCCAAGCAAGCCCTTGGGAGATAGGGATTGTGTAACTAACATTTTACCTGAATGACTTTATACTTACATATATTAAACTCCAGAGGGAGAGGAGAAACCACTTGATCCCCAGTGTGGTGTCTCATCTTTAAACTCCAGACTGTACAGAAAATCCAGTTGAATAACAGGCAGTTCTGAGTACTTTCAGTAATGTATATAAAGTTTAACATCCCTTTGAAGAATAGGACACATACCTCCTGTTCAACTCTTCATGTCCACCAGTAGACAGTAGACAGAAGAAAAGCTCTCCCATCCCCTTCCCCCTAAACCATGGAACATGAGCCCTCCATTTGGGCTGATGGGACCAGTTTTAAAACCTAACTTTACTCCTGGAGCAATTAACAGCCTCACAGGCGCCAGTGCCATGCCCTGATTGGTTCCAGTGAGAATTCCTGACCAGTCCCTGCGTGCCAAGAGGGACGGGAGTATTTGATGAGCCATGTCAGCCTCTCAAGCCCACTGCCTGGGTGGAGAAGGGGTGACAGCTGCCAGAATAAAATGGCAGCTCCCTAGGAAGGAGGAGCAGGAAATGGAAACCCAGTAGGCAGCCCTCAGTGACCACCTCATGACCCAGTTCTAAAAGATTTCTAAAAGATCATTATTTTTCCAGTTATAAAGATAACACCCCAAATTCAAATAGTACAGAGTGAATAAAGTAGAGTCCCCTGCAATTTGAGGGGGAAAGAGGAAGGATTAGGGGGAGGTTGGTGTAAATCAAACATGTTTGTGACAGTCTCAGTCAGCTCAGAAATTTATAAAGTAGAAAGGGAAAGCCTGCTATTACCATGGTGGAATTAGGGGTGTTGTTTCATTCCATTACTTGAGATGTTTTTTCTTAATGTAGCTTTTCAACATCATTAACCTATCACAACAGTCCTGACATGAATGTCCTGCTTCATTCCAGGCAGAGTGTGTGCAAAAAGCACATGTCTCAGGGGGCTTTACAAATTAGAGGAACAGCAAGAGTTGGATATCACTGAGGATTCTGGGAGGGGAATAGCAGGATATGAGACTGAAAATGAGACAGGGCCAGAGAGTGAAAGGCCTTGAATGTCACACTAAGTGGCTCCTAAATTTGCTGTCTGGTTGTGTATCATTAAAACCAGGACAGAAGCCCTCTCCCGAGTCCCCAGAATAGAGGAAATGGCCAAGGAATCCTGCTGTGGTCCTGGTGTTTCAAATGGCTGTGAGGTGGAGTCAGTATGAGCTCTTTACAAAGAAAGCACTGTCTCTAGGCTATTGGTGGAGATCGATCCTTGCCATCAAGAGCATTTTGGACAAATTTGAATTATTGTTGATGTATATTAGCAGAAGATGGTCTCAAAGCCATGAGGGCGGGACCTTCTTAGCCTTTTTGAAGACACTCTACAACTTGCAGTGTTAATGGGACCCCACCCACCCTGTTGGACTCTGAACAGCCCATGGTTGCACTGGACCTTGCTGCATTAATACAGCAGCATAAGTGTTGGTTGTAGGTTTTGTCTTTTCTACTTAAAGGTGTGTCTTAATGAGCCATTTGTTAGAAGGAACTAACAATGGTCTCAGCAAGGATGCTTGGACAATTACAAAATGAGGCTCACTTGTGAAATTGCACTTAAAACATGTTGGAGGAGAGACAAGGTAACATTGATGTTAATTTAGGTTTGGGCCACGTGGTCGTAGCAACTTGAACTTGGCCCTCTCTCCTCTCAGAGAGCAAAGACCACATACCACCCTGGGGACTGCATTCTCTGTGTGTAGTTAATTATGGCCAAATTTACTTCTCTCGACTCTGCAGACTTACATTCACGTAGTTAAAGCAAGCAGAGTAACCTTGGGCTGAGTTATTAAATTAGTCTGGGCATTCACACCTCCACACCAATTATTTCTCTCCTGGATTCTGTTCCCCTTCCCCCCGGACCATCCTTGAGTGTTGCAGAGGTGAGGAAACAGAAGTCTTGACCTAGTATTAGATGCTCTGAGGTCATGCTACTGGTTAAATGGATCTAGAACTGGGTGTAGCATCTGAGATCTTATGATTATTTTTCCTTAACAGTTTATTGTGATACAATATACATACCATAAGATTTATTCCTTTTCAGTGTACAGTTTGATGAGTGTTAGTTTATTTATATAGTTACATCACCCTCGCCACAATCCAATTTTAGAACATTCCATCACCTAAGGTAGTTCCCTTGTAAGCAACCCCCACCCTCAACTACCAGACACCAGACCAGTTAAGTCTTTACAATGGTAGCTTTCTGCGACTTGGTCACGCAGATTTTTTTCTGCTTTGAAGCAGGTAAATGTTACAGACAGCAAACTTGAATGTGAGTTAAGTGTGGCAGTAGCTTGGCCCACAGTTGCTATTCTTATATGACAGTGTTCAAGTCTTCACATGTTTCAGGCACTGTGCAAAATGCTGTGGGTGTTGTAGCCACCCCGGGAGGAAGTGACTGGTTCCAGAGTTTACAGATGTGGAAATGAAAGTTTCCTAAGGTAGCCCATGCCCTCAGACCATGTGCCCCAAGAGTGAGCTGGGTTCCTGCTCTTGACTGCTTAGTTCCAGACCTGCAACCGCCTTTCACCTGGATGCTGTGCCTTGTCCTGGGGTTAAATAAATGCGTAAATAAATAAAGAAAATATTGCCTCTTACTTAGAAGTATGCCACTTACCTGAATTTCCAAGAAGGATGATCCTGAAAATTATGGAAATGAAAGTGGAGGGTTTGATGCAGAAAATACCTTTGATTTCTTTTTTTAATACCCTTCACTGAATTTTCACGTGGTAGTTTTCTGCGACAAGTCGCCATGTCACTGACAGTTGAAACCACCCAGATGTCTGTTTATTCTTAATTGTGGGCAGCCAGCAAGCTCAGCCTGGGAGACTTTTAAAAAACCGAAGCCCTCATTTCCAGACCTGGATTGGAGTTCCCATATCTTAGAGAGTCACCGCTTCTCTGTCACTGGGGTCCTCGCCCTGGTGAATGCCACCCAGACCCCAGTCCTTCCCCACTTGCCTGCTTTGGCTTCCAGCTTGGGAGCTGCCCACAGCAAGGAAGAGAAAGCCACGCTTCCTCTTTATTGCAGCTCCGCAAGGAGAGGTTCCTCTCCGGAGGCACTTTTGGTATGAGCTCTGAAGTGTGCAAGAGGGAGAGAGGCTGAGTCAGTTTCTGGTTAGAAGAAATTATCCTGGGGGCTTTCTCAGGGCTTGTTAAACAACTTTAAAAAAGTTGAAACAAAAGCCGAAAAGGGATTACTATGGCTTTAGACATTTCCAGTGGCATTTAGAAAGAACATTTATTCCCACAGGATAGATTTATTGCACCTGCTGTGAGTGAGGCACTGAGGGTCACAGTCAGAAGATTACAAAGCCTTGTGCTCTGCTTCCAGTCTAGAAAATTAAGTTTGAAACCTGAAATGGAACTCTTTGGCAGAATGGAAATGGAATGAAATTTCACTCCTTCCAAAGGAAATAGGAGAGAAGTTTGCCTGTTTCCCAGTTGATCACCTTCTCTTTCCAACCAGGACTCACTCACTAAGCTTCTCCGGGCCTCTGGCTCCTCGCAGAGGTTCGTTTCTATCCTAGGAGATTTGTAAAACCAGATGCTGGAGGTGTTGCTCTATAGTGAAGAATGAGATCTTTTGTTCTCTTCACAGCCTTCGGGCCTGGAGTGTAGAGAAAAGTGTGCATAGTATGCATGGCCCCTCTTTTTGCCCTGCCCCCACCAGTTGGGTATTAAGTGCCTGCTGGGTGCAAAACGTCCCTGCTTGGCCGGCCCTCCATTCAGGGGCTGCTGGGGTCACAGCTGGTTCCTTGCTTGGCTTTCCCACTGGTTCCTCAGGAAGACGCCAATCCGTGTTCCAGCCCTGTTCTCAGTGGTGGTGGTCTACTGCTCTCTGCAGGCGGAGGCTGTGGTTTTCGGAGTTTGGAAAATAATCCGTCCAGGTTAGCATGATGATTCAGCCCTCTTACTGCTTATGCTGCCTTAAGCCCACAAAGGGGAAATGCTAACAGCCTCTTTCGAGGTGTCATTAGGTGTCATGGTGGTGAACTGAGACAGTGACTATTCATAGTTTCTGCAGCATCGTCTGAGGCTCAGAGAGTACAGTTCCCCTTTTCCAAAATGGGGCCAGATCCTCAAGATGTAAGCAGTGTATTCTTCCCAGGGATTAATAACTTTTTGATGCTATAATTTTAAAAAGGTGGTGTTCCCTATAAAATAGGTGTGTTCCTACTAAAAAAATTATTATGGAAAAAATCAGACAATAAAAATAACAAGGCTTTGAGGAAAAACATAGGGCAAACATTGAAAACTGTCTACAATAATAATAATCTTCACAATATTACTGACACTGTTCAAAAGACATGTTCAGTCCTAAAAATAAATACCCCAGTAAATATAGGACTACACACATGTATGAGTGTGTGTCTGTGAAGGTAGCTAGTGTAAGGCATTAGTGAAGCTAGTGAAGGAGGAGATGTAAGGCATTCCCCCACACCGCCAGTCCCTGATAACCACTGTTCTATTTTCTTGTCTCTGTGAATTTGGCTATTTAAGCTACCTTATATAAATGGAATCATACACTATGTGTCTTCTGTGACTGGCATGGTATAATGTACTCAAGGTTCAGCCATGGTGTAGCATGTGACAGGATTTCATAAATCATAAAAAGCTTTTACCCCAAATTTATTTTAACAAGGTTAGGCTAGGAGTCCTTTCTGCTCTACTTGTGTAATGAAATATTCTTGTTGAGTTCATCTCCTTATCGTGCTATTCTCCCAGGCTGCTACTTCAAGTTTCTGAGCACAAATTAACTCTAAAAAGCAGATTCTCTGTGCTGAAAGATAGTAATTAACAAGGGAGCTGTGTCAGACATCACAGGAGAAAATGTCATCAGTAAGAGCATATTTCTAATGCCTGAGTGTTTTTTTAAAACCCTGATTGGTGTGATTTCATTCCAGAGAGCTCAGAAATATGCCCAGGAAGTCTTGCAAAAAGAGTGCCGACCCCAGTTTGCGAAGGCATCGATGGCACAGTTGTTTGAGCACAGGTATAGCTCAGACTTACTGCCTTTTGTGAAGGAGGCCCCCAAAGAGGACGAAGCTGAGTACAAGTACAGTCCTCCTTTTGGATTCCGGAAGTTCTCCAGTCAAGTCCAGACCCTCTTGGACATGTTGCCTGAGCACGGCTTCCCTGAACACTTGAAAGCCAAGAGTTGTAGGCGTTGTGTGGTTATTGGAAGCGGTGGAATACTCCATGGACTGGAACTGGGCCATGCCCTGAACCAGTTCGATGTTGTGATAAGGTACATTGGTTGTAAAGCCATCCTTTCTCCTCTAGAGTCATGTTCACTGCTTTTGGTCATTATGGCACCAGCAGCAGTGAGGCACCCAGGGAGCACTGCCCGCCCCTGCCCCCAGAGCACTTACTGCCTGAGAGGGCGAAACAAAAACGTGCGATGACTGGATGCCCCAAACTATGCCAGACTGCCCGCTCCTAATTCAGCAAAACGTTTTCAGAGGAGGTGAGATTTGCAAGGATGGTCAGATTCAGATATGCCAGGAAAGGAGGAAGACTGTGCCACCCGGAGCCAAGAGGAGGCTGTGGTGGGGAGACTGGGTCAGGGGGATGCCTGCTGGCTCCCAGGAGCCCTGGAAGGCAGCGCTGGCTGGGACACAGAAAGCAGCCAGTGAGTTTGAGCTCCATGTAACAGGCAGTCATCCTAGATCCTTTCTGGTTTGGCTGGCTAAAAATTGCTTTCCTGGTTATAAAAGTAAAATATATTTTGTTAATCTTGAAGATTAAACAAACAGAAAAATACAAGGTAGAAAATAACCACTTATAGCACAAAATAACCAACCACTCTTAATTTGGTGTTTTTTCCACTCTTTTATACTAAGTGCATACCAAGACATATATTTCTTTACTTATATAAAGTATTTTGTTTTTTTATCGTAATATTATGAACAGTTTTGGAAGTCATTAAATACTCCTTGGAAAAGTAACTTTTACTAAATGCTTCACATCCCTTTACATGAGGGTATCATGTTATCCAGCTGGACAAAATGTTTCCAGTTTCTCTGTTACTGTGAATGCTTTGTACTCATATGTGTGTCTTTACGTACAGCTCTGAGAATTGCTAGGACTGTTGGCTTAAAAGTATTTGAATGTTTTCAAAGCTCTTGATACATTTTCAGGGTATCAAGGGTGTGTAGGACCAGAAGCATGATGGAAGTTGGGTCCTAGTTAAATTTGTTCAGCAGAAGTAGTGAGTTTGGTTGAAGGCAGGAAAGCCTGGGACTCGGGGCTGGGTTAAGCAGGCGCACTTGGTATATGCAGTGTGTGGCCCTGGTGTGAGGCACACAGAAAGCGGGAATGGAGACTAATGATCAAAATCTAAGCTGTGTACCCAAAAATAAATTATAGGATTCTGACGGTTAAACAACTCACCTCAGGGGACATCAAGATTTCTAGTTTGAGGGCCTAAGATATTAGCAGAGCCACTGTCAGAAATGGAGTCGATTAAAATCTCTGGTGAGTGAGATCCAATTGAGATATTTTGCATCTAAAAGTGGCAATATCTTCACACAATGCCTTCCTGCCCAGTAGCTGAGATCTTGGGCAGGTGTCCCAACTTCCCTTGCCTCTGGCTCCTCATACGTAAGTGGGGACAGGGTAGCAGTACATACCCTGCAGGGTCACTGTGGGGACAAACTGCGTTAGATGTCAGGCCAGTCCAAACTTAACAGAAAAGTTGCAAGAACAGAACAAGAACTCGCTTCACCCTCCTCCCCAATTCCCCAGTTCACACTTTATCACATTTTCTCATCAGGCCTGTAGTAAATGCTCAGTAGATGTTAGCTACTATTTTTGGAGAATGCTTAGGAAGGTGGGGGTTCAGGAGGAGAGGCAGGGGGTGCAAGATTTGTAGGAAAGAACCAGACTTTGGAAAGAGCCAAGAGATAGAAAAAAACAAGCTTGAAGGCAGAAGAGGTGCCAGAGGCCTCAGTGGCCAAGAGCAGGCATGCATGAAGCAAGAGGGTGGGAGCGGGGCTTGGGCATGTAAAGATGGGGTAAAGGAGGATGTGACTGCTGCCTCTCACTGGGTGCTTTCTGTGTGTGAGGCACTGTGTCACATGCTTTAGGGGTTCTCATTCCTTGGAGAAGCCATCACTGTTAGCCATCATCATAGAGGAGGGCATGGAGGTGCCGTAGGGTCCAGACTAGACCCCTGCCTCCAAATGCAGGGTGTTGAGACTTCCAGAACCTCATCCTTGGCCCTGTGTGAGCAGCTGAATGATCTATGTGTAGGGAGCACTGGGGGAGGAGACAGACCCCATGCCCATCTAACAGTGTACAACTGGGATATGGGAAGAGAAGAGGGGAGGAACCATGGTGTGACCGTGGGCCTGGCAAGAGATGTGGGAGTGGATGGTGACCTTGAAGAACAGTGGTATTTGGCTCTCCAGGGAGGGATGGACAGGGGGTCTGGGTGAGGACCCTCACCTTGGCAGGAGGAGGGATGAGCCCTAGAGAGTTGGAAAGGGGGCTGGAAGGTGGCTTGCTGTCCCAACAGTCATACTCCAAGCAACCACCAGCAGACTGGGGTGCCGGGACTCCATGCATAGGCACTGGGGGACCTCTGAGCACTGGGGACAGGGAAGGGGTGACTTAGCTTGATTATGAGGGTGAATGTCAGTTAAGAAGCTTTTGGGGAATAACTTTTAGGCTTAAAACCATTCCAAACTTAACAGAAATTGCAAGAGTAGAGCAAAGAATTCCGTTCACCCTCCTCCCAGATTCCCCATTTTGTTAACACTCTATCACATTTGCTTTATAGTTTTCCCTCTGAGAGTTCATTTGGAGAGGTAGTTGCAAATATCAAGCCCCTTTACCCCTTAATACTTCGGTGTACATTTCTCAAGCACAAAGACACTATGTTACATAACCACAGAGCAATGTTGAGAATTAGAAGATTAGCACTGATACAGAACAGACCTTATTTACAGCCCTTCTTCAAATTTCACCAGTTATCCTGATAGGGCCCTTGATTTTTAAAAAGAAAAGAAAGAAAAAGGAAAAATAACTGGTCCAGGATCATGCCTTGCAATTTCATTGTCATGTCTGTTGATAATCCAGGGGTTAGGTGTCTGAGATCTAGAAGTGGCATAGAACAAAGATTAGATAGAGGTGTGTTAACTCAGGTGAAGAAACCAACAGACTTTTTTTGAGATTACGAAACTGTAACTGGTTAAGTGCTGTTGCTCTTGGAAGAATTCTTAGAATTTTCTCCCAAAACAAATACCCTGGTAAAGTCTTCATTCATCTAACAGTTTTAAGTGGTGCCAGTACTTGCTTTAAGACCAGACTGTGCTGGGCGCAGTGCCCTCCTCCACCTCCACTGTGTCAGTGTAAGTGCGGTTTGTGTCTGCCTTGCCCTTGTTTTTAGGTTTCCTTTCTGCTTACTTTTCTGAAATTCTGGCAAGCACTACTAATATCTGAGCACAGTAGGAAGCTTTCAAGGAAACATTACTCGTGCCCAGAGAAAGCCCGAAATGTAATATGTTTGTGTTAGCTTAAAATGGTAGCACTAGATGAATTGCTTGACATGCAAAGATGAGAGGTGAGCATCCCTCGTGGACTGAAGGCTGCATTTCTCCAGCACCTAGAAGGGCAGAGCTGTGAGAGGTGAGGAGGCTGTTGGCAGGGACATGCTACCCCCCACCATGTCCCCATTCCCAGTCCTAAAAAAAGTGGAGGGCATGATGCAAGGATTTAATGTAGTACGGTGAGGTGTCTGATGGCTTGCTTTGTCAACTTACCTTTGTCCTTTTTATTTAAATAGGTTAAACAGTGCACCAGTTGAGGGATATTCAGAGCATGTTGGTAATAAAACTACTATAAGGATGACTTATCCAGAGGGCGCGCCACTGTCTGACCTTGAATATTATTCCAGTGACTTGTTTGTTGCTGTTTTGTTTAAGAGTGTTGACTTCAACTGGCTTCAAGCAATGGTAAAAAATGAAACCCTGGTAAGTACTGGAAATTCAGCTATCAAAAGTACCATTGTAAAAAGTGAAGGGGTCTCAAATCAGAACTGCAGACTTTTTAAACACAGTGTAATTCATACTTTGGTGTTGTCTTTCAAAAAACTGCTCCTTTTGTAGAGACCCCCTCAGAATTCCTTACTGGGAATTGCTTTCAATATTTGGTTGTCTTATATGTAAATTATGATCATTACTTAATGGTTGTATCAAATTTTAGACCAAAATTGTTATTACTGAGGTTGATCACCTACCTTCTTTACCAGACTTGGATTTACATGTCTTTCGGCTAATTCCAGAAATTAAATTTACTTGGAAGACTATAAACCATTACTGAGGATATGCAAAAGAAGAATATATATAAAATCTCTGAGGAATATACCCAAAGATATTCTCTAAAAATGCTCTGATAGGGGGTCCCCTTGGAGTAAATTCATAGCATTCCAGAGGGGCAAATATAGAAGAGAAGGCCCTCACTTTGTTGTATTCCTTTTGTTTGTCTTTATAATAATTGATCACATTCCTTTATAGTCTTACCCATTATATTGCAGTAAATTTCAGAGCAACTTTGAGGAGTATGTGCCTTTATATACACATACACAAACTAGCTGTCTGCAAAATTCATAGTACATATTAGAGTTTGCACAAGCTCCACAGAGAACTTATATCTCCATAGGCTGATTCTGTATAGTCTGTCATGTTCTTCTGGATTTTCCATTGGGTAGAACTTACTGTAGTTGAAAGATGAATCACATGTGGAATGACTTACAGTCAGTTACCAAGAGACTGCATGGGGCTAGGAAATGGAGTAAGTGAGAGGGGATGCGAGGGAGGGCCTGTGGGGCCCTCCCAGCATGCACACCCTTGAATCGGGCTGTTTGCCTGGTCTCCCCTTGGAAAAATGATGGTTTTTTGTCCTAATAAGGATTACCATCACAGGTCATTCTCTGAGGAGTTTGTTCCCCAAACAAGAGCTGGTTCTGCAGTCCCTCTCGTCCAGTGCCACCACAGATGGGGGGTCATACCCATGGCTTTGGTCTGCTCAGCAGGGGTTGCAGTCTCACCTCCACTGATGGTAGTATTTTATTCAGTACCCATAATGATATCTTGCTTTTTCCCCTTAGCCATTCTGGGTGCGACTTTTCTTTTGGAAGCAGGTGGCAGAAAAAATTCCACTGCAGCCAAAACACATCAGGATTCTGAATCCAGTTATTATCAAAGAGACTGCCTTTGACATCCTTCAGTACTCAGAGCCTCAGTCAAGGTTCTGGGGCCAAGACAAGGTATTTTTATTGTTATTGAAAGTTAACTGTTGTTTTCTGTGTGGGAAGGGAGACATCTGTACAAAATTCATTTAGGCTCAGCTGTGTATCCGGAAGCATCTTCCAGGAGAGAAACATAGTGAGTGAGTAGATGCTCCATGGTGTTCCACATCTTGACCTCAGGACCCCTCATTGTTTAATTGGCCTTTAGTATAGTCAACATGTAACATTTAGGTCACTGGCATATTAGTTATGATATTCTTACTCTGGAACTCCATGTAACTAACTGTAGGACACAGAAAGGCACTTTGGTGGTCTGAAAAATTCTTTACATTTCAATTCGGTGGGCTGCTTAGGTGAGAATTGACTTTTATCATCACTTTATAGGTGATAGCAAATAAAGTCAACCCCCTAGAGCAGTGTTTTCAGGTGATGCTTGGGTCCCACCCCAGACATTTTGATTTAATTGTTCTGTGCTGTGATCTAAACATTGGGATATTCACAGTTCCCTGGGTGATTTTATTTTGCAGCCTAATTTGAGAACCTTGGTATATAGGCTGTTCAGTGCAGTAGATTCTTTACCTGCAATTAGCCTGTGCTGCCATCAGGGGGCAGAGATGCCTTTATTACCTATTTCCTCATGATCTGAATAGCTACGCCTTTGTCTTTAAAACTTATTTAAAAGCTGTGAAAATCATTCTTAAACAAAATTCTAAGCAAAACCTCTCCATATAAAGGAAAGTAAGGGGTTTTGAAATGTGAGGGGCCTGAGATATCTCCTCAGAGATAGGGCTGCCAGGGTCACAGTTTGCAAACATGGAGCTAGACTCTTATGTGTTGTCATCCAATTGGCAGATAAGCAGGTTCTTCTTTTTGCCCTTTGAACCAAAATCTGATTTAAAAGATTCTTTAAAACACCTGTGTAAAGTTTAAAGGAAGAACTCTGTAGTTATCCCAGAAAACAAACACCTAAATAGGTTCCTTGAAAATAAAAACCTAGTTCTTTACCAAAGGCTTGAAGACCAGCTCACCCTTAACATAGCAGAGCTCCTCCCTTAGCAGCTGCCATTTCCCTCAGGTGCTCAGCCCTCTCAGGTGCTTTCCTGCTTCTCCACCCATGGGGAGCCCACGAGGGCCGTGTCATTTCTGTCCACTGCAGGAGTGTGTCCAGGCCCAGTTTTTCTAGTCAGGAGGTGCATCTTTCCTCTCAGAGGAGAGCAGCTCTGCCCCTTGCAGTGACTGTCAGGGTCTGCGATTGGACATCTAGGGGCGTTAGCTTCCCTTTTCCCACATGGGAGCCCAAGGAAGCTCCCCAGAATGGACTTACAACTTTTAACCTGTTAGCATCACTTTTAACAAAACAATTTTTTCAAAAAGAGACTTAGGCAAGATTCTTAAGCTACATTGCCAAGAGGTTTCACTGTAAATATACTTGAGTATCTTTCAGTATCCTTAGATTTCTGTATCTTTTAAACTGCCATGTTTCTTTATTAAATTCCATGGTATTTTTTTAAACACAGGCAAACGTTCATATGTGGCCTATAGGTAGATTTTATTTTAGAAGTAACCTTTAAAAAATGGACAGATTTAATTACATGAAATATGAGATTGGTGAATGGCAAAAGGTATCAGAAACAAAGTTAGAACAGAAAATAAGTGGAGGAAACTATCATGTATATAACAGAAGAAATACATTACAAGTACAAAGAGATCTTACTAAATCAAAAATAAAAACATGCCCCCCCAAAAAATATAGGGAAAGGATATGAATAGACATTTTACAAAAGAAGAAATTAATATAGCCAAGGAGTACACGAGAAAATGTTCAACTTCACCAGTAATCAAATTAAGGCAAATTAGAGCCACAATGACATTTTCTGCCAGATTTCTTAGCAAAGATGTAAAAGCTTGGTAATGTCCTTGTTTGGCAGGAATGTAGTAGAATTATAAGTTTCTCTGGAGGATAGTTTGATAACATGTAGTAATCTCAAATATGAATAGTCTTTTATTCTAAAAATTTCATTATAAGGAAATCTGCAATGCTGGCTATTCTAGGATGTACACCACAGCATTAATAATAGAAAGGACTAAAAACAGCCTAAGTATTCATCATTGGGGGATGGTTTGAACATATGGTACTTGGTGATGCAATACTGTGTGACGGTTAAGGGTAAAGAAAGGTTTACGTGAAAACTATTGTGAAAATATCTATGCAATATATTAAGCAAGAAAATTGAGTCACAGAACATTTACATAATCCCATTTCTGCTTAAACATAAAAATGTTGGGTATATAGATGCATAGGAAAAAACGGAAATGAATACCAAATCGTGAAGAATACCCTTCTCTGGTTGGGGGAGGGAGTGAGTCTATAGAGGACTTTTACTTACTTTATAATCTATTTATACATTTGCACTGAATATTTATTTTCATAATTGACAAAATGATATTTTTGTTTTGGATAAAAACAGTAACTATAAGATACCATCTGATCTAAGCTGCATTGTCAAAAACCCTCACACACAAGCCCATCCAGCAGAGAGAGAAGTCTGTTGGATCATGGGGTGTGATGGGGTATGTTCTGCAGATAACATGCTTTGGGTAGTTTTTGATAGTTTTTGAGTTACTCTGTGTTTATCACCCCATGAACAATTGATTCCATATGCTTCTTCCACAAACACCAGCTGAGCATTCCTGAGGTGCAGGGTGCCGAGCTGGCCACAGAAGACAGGCTGCCTAAGGCTAAATGGGAAGGGCTTTCCTTTGAGTTGGGTTCTCTTTCTGAACAAGCAGAATGCCTGGTGAGTTCTTTTTTCACGAGTGAGGTTGGCTTTGAGAGGTAGATGCAACATATGAAGGAGCAGGAAGCAACTTACAATGAATGGCAGGTGCAATAGACACTCTCCAGTCCCACCTTGATCCCTGAACTCTGTGGGGTTCGCTGCTGTTCCAGTGTGCAGAGGAGAGTTGGGTCTGGCTGGCATCCACAGACTAACTATACAAAAGAAACCAGATCAGCGGCAGCGTTCGGAGAGGGCTTGCCCAGCCACGGAGCTTTCTGTCTTCCTCTCTTTCTCTCTGCCCTCTGCATGCTGCCCAAGACCCAGAAGGCACAATTCCAGATTCACAAATGGCCAGGTATTAGACATGAAAAGAGAGTGGTGGTGATGTGGTCAGAATCCAAAATGGTTTGGACATTTGGCACTCTGGCCAAAGCCAGAAGGATACATTTTGGAAGAAACAAATGTGAAAGCCCTTAATTTGGGCCTAAAACCGTACTTGCCCAGAGGGTGAGCAGAAACTGGCTTCGCAGCTATTCAGGTGAAAATGGCCTGTAAGTGTTATTTGCCAGAAAAGCAAATGAGGGCCTTAAGTGGGGCACAGCTTCAGGTCAGGGGTGAACAGTCATCACCAATGGGAACTGAGGCTGCTTTGTGCTCAGGCAGAGCCGGTCCTCCGGAGCAAGCCAGGAAGGGAGGGGCTCCAGAAACCTGAGAAGGACCGTGGGAGCCCTTACGGTGGAGCAGACCTTGTAGACATGTGTCATGTGAGAGACAAAATGTGCTCGTTTTGCAGTTCATATGCCAGAGCTGCGGGTCGGGGTTTTAGAAAGAACACCTAGCTTGGAGCAAGAACTGCCATCACAGACCATGTTTAGAGTCTAGATGCCTGACTGGGAAGGGAAGTAAGACTTCAGAATTCCATGGGATATAAAATCATGAGATGTATGAAGTTGCAGCCCCCCAAGGCAGCCTTTGTTACTCTGCATAGCATGTATACTACTTGGAAAGCAGTGCACTGTGCTAAGACTTTGTCTTTTCTCTTTTTTCAGAACATCCCCACCATGGGTGTCATTGCTGTTGTCTTAGCTACACATCTGTGCGATGAGGTCAGTTTAGCAGGCTTTGGCTATGACCTCAGTCAGCCCAAAACACCTTTGCACTACTTCGACAATCTCTGCATGGCTGCCATGAACTTCCAGACCATGCATAATGTGACTACAGAAACGAGGTTCCTCCTCCAGCTTGTCAAAGAGGGCGTGGTGAAGGATCTCAGTGGAGGCATCCATTGTGAATTTTGAACACAGAAAACATCACTTGAAAATGCACCCCCAACTCTGAGGGCTGTTTTTCATAGCCTTCTTCATGCATTTCTTCCTGCAAATACTTTGAAGTGCAGCTGGTGTTTTTACCGTTTAATTTAAAAAACAAAAGACAGTTTAACTCTTCCCACTTTTCTCCCCTATTTATTTGTGGTCAGTGTTTTGCACAAAACTTTGTAAGTTAATTCTGAGAATTGAATGGGAAAGAACTTTTCACAGAGAATTGGATGTACTGATGTTTTATTGTATATTAAGAAAGTTACTTAGTTTGTAAAAACTGTCCATTTCTACTGCACACAGAATACCAGGAAACCAAGTGGAAGGAGAAGGATGTCACTCCTTTCAGGAGAGCCCTGAATGTGTAATTCTGGTTCTCTGTTACTCTGTTTGGTGGGACGGGTATTGGATGCACTTGGGGTTGACAGCTCAGGAGCTGAACCACTTCCTGGGCCATGCTGCCCATGAGGCCTGGGCTGGTCAGAGAAGCTCACCATCCCTCTCTGTTGGTCTGTCTTCTTTCAGAAGATTTGCAAGAATCAGCCAGGGGAGCTGTCCCGGAGGTCCCTGGTTGGGGAGGGACACAGAAATACTCTGTGTCTTCTGAGTACTGTGAAGCCTCCCTCAGCTATAGAACCCACTGTCTCCCCTGCGATTATGACAGCTCTTGAATTTCTTGAGTTTTTTACTGCCCTTCCAAAGCACTTAAATGTTGAGCTGAGGTGTTCCACTGTCTGTCCGAGGTGGCTTATAAAAAGCAGGACAAAACCTCTGTTACCCAGAGTCGTAGAAGAACAAACCCTTTCCAAGAATAATTGTGTTTTCTGAAACACGGAAATGAAATCCTTCCAGTGTTATAAGTTGCCTATTTAAAAAGAATTCTTTTTGAATGCCTACCTGGCAGTGTGTACCAGCCAGTATGCTGGTCAAAAATAAAAAGAATGAAAGCTTTTGAGGAACTCAAGGTTTAGTTAATTTGAGTGCTTTTTTTTTTTTTAAAGAAAAGTCCATAAATCTACCTAAAATGGCCTTGGATGCTGCTAGGTGGAGACCTCACTGTGGATGCTGGTAGTGAGGGACGGAGAACGAAGGGGGCCTTGCCCTGCAGTGGGCTTCATCCCAGACAGCTGTGAACTCTTCCTGAGAGATGCTGGGTGTCTGTGCCGTCCTCACAGACAACAAGAATGTTCTAGCTTCAGTCTCTTTAATCGCCATGGTCTTTGCTGTCAGAAGATCCACCACCAACTGCTCACCCCACCACCTCTACTCTCCCTCTGCCTTGCAGCTGCTGCCCCCCTTCAATTCTCATTTCTTTTAACTGCAGCCCCAGTGCAGTTTGGACTCCCAACCTATTCTGTGGTCTTGCATATGAAGGGCAAGGAGCCAGGTCACAGCATTCAGAGCTCTGTGAATCTCCAGGTCTCTGGCATCAAGCTAAGAGTAGCTGGCATAGCAAAGTAGTATTTCTCTGGCTTTATGTCTTCAAACTTTCTATGGATTTTGCATTCTACTTTATAAGACATTGTGTGAGAGAAAATGCTTTAAAATTCTCACCAGTTAAATGACTTCGTTTTGAAAACTGAGACTCGGGAAGATGCTCTACAGCTGTCCTGTGACAGGTAAGGAAGGCCAGCCTCATCCTGCAGGGACGACTTAAAGCTTGCATTCTTTTTTAAAGCCAAGATTCGAAATGTCTTCAGAACTTGCCTAGTGTTGTGAGTGCCGCCTCATGGGTTCATGTGGACTCATGCCCCATGTCCTGCAAGGCTGCTGGAAGCGCGTAGCTCAGGGCTTAGCTCTTGACCAGCTTTCAGTGAATGTCAGGCCTAGTCCCGTGTATGTCCTTTCTTGCGTTCTTACATAGCTCTTCCCATTACCTCTCAACTTTTGATTAATAGCAGCTTGTAAGTGCTCTCAGTGAATAAAAATGTGAACTCTTCCAAAGACCTTCTGTGGAGCCCAGCAGCCTACCAGAGCCCATGGGAGACCATCCTCAAGAACAGTTAGCCCTTTGGCAGCTGTTTGCTGGAAGTTGCCTCTTGGCTTCAGAGTTGCTCCTCCCTTAACCACCCCCCCGACACACACACATGCACATTCGCTTTTCTGGGAACAGTCCTCCAGGGCTACAGGATGTCCCAAAGCTGGTCTCCAATAGCAGAGGCTTCACCCTCACTCCCCCAGCTCTGTAGGCACATGTACATCCCTTTTAAATGGTTGAAATCATTGCTTTTGAGACAACTCGGGACGACATATGCATGTTCTGTATTTTAACACACTTCTTACTGGAACTTTGAGCCACAGAAAATTTTAGTGAGTTCTAGGTGTTCTTTTTTCTCTTCTACAAAGAGCACATTCTCTTCAGAAACTGGGACTGGGATAAGTTTGTCCCAATGACATGTCTCATGCTTTTCGGCAAAGTTAAACCGGAACCTTCTAGATCAGTCATGTACCCGGGTACACTCCTTGCCTGCTCCACTTCCCTTCTGTGTCACACTGGTTGTTTCATTTCCCAAGAATGTACTAACGAGGCATCAGCAATGTCTGTCCCCACACATTTCGGAGGTCTCATCATTTGTTGGACCCGTTAATTAAAACTAACTTGTCAAGCCAACTTGGTGACTAGACAGCTTCTGTTGAACAATGACCTACCTCATGGCCATCAGCGCTCAGTCTGGTATGTGTTGCCAACAGGAGCTTGGCTGGAAAAGAATGCAGGGGTCACACCCTAGTCTCCCCAGTTAATGAAAGTTAAATTGCCAAGACTGCAATTTCTTTGGGGAACATCAATTCCTCATTGATGAAATTTGAGTGCATATGTTTAATGAATAGTACGGCTTCCCAGTTTACCTTAGTATGATATTTTGAGAGTTGGCTATGGGTAAATTTGGATAAACAACATATTTCGAGAACACAAATGCATGCTGTCTAAAATGACCTTGGAAAGTGGGAAGGAAAAGTTTCAGAAGGTTGGGCCAGGCTGTCTCGACCTCCAGGTAGGCACAGGGAGAGCTGGTTTTGGGTGCGCCCAGGTGGACAGGACCTGCCTCCCCCTGTGACTTGTGCCTGTCTGGGAGCTCTGCAGAAACTGGGTCTGGGATGAGTTTGTCCCAATGACATGTCTCATGCTTTTCGGCAAAGCTAAACTGGGACTTTAATTATTAAAGGTTATTAAATGTTTCTAAAACCACTGGCCATTTTGTTTTATCTGCATTCTAACCCCAGCGCTTGAATCAAAGGGATTGTTGAGTTTGCCTCGTTACTGTCCCAAGAGAACCTTATAGGTCAGCATTGTAGGAAGATTAAGAAATAGTGACTTACTCTCCTCCTCGGTAGGTTTACAGCATCCGAGTGTGGGTTATTTTTCATCTTTTCTTCAGGACACTTCGGTTAGGTCCGACAAGAAAGAAGAAAAGGACTAGGTCCTGTGATGAAGCAGAATTCCCTTCAGGTGAAATGGGCTATTAGGATGCTTGCCGCGCATGCTATGTGACCCTGGGCCTCTCGTTCATTTACGTGGTAACAAAATGCTTCCCTCAAACGAAGGGCCCTGTGTTTGCTGCCTCTGGAACCAATGCCTTCTTCCCAGGCACTGGCTATCCACAAGGCATGCCCAGCTGACCACACCCAGCTCCCAGACAGGCACAAGCCACAGGGGGAGGGAGGCCCCGTCCACCTGGGCGCACCCAAAACCAGCTCTCCCTGTGCCTGCCCTGGAGGTTGAGACAGCCTGGCCCAACCTTCCGAAACTTTCCCTTCCCACTTTCCAAGGTCATTTTAGACAGCATGCATTTGTGTTCTCAAAATATGTTGTTTGGATATATCCAAATTTACCCATAGCTAACTCTCAAAATACCATACTGAGGTAAACTGGGAAGCTGTACTATTCATTAAACATATGCACTCAAATTTCATCAATGAGGAATTGATGTTCCCCAAAGAAATTGCAGTCTTAGCAATTTAACTTTCGTTGTCAAAATGATTAGATTTGACTAATTCCCAGTATTAAATTTCAATCCATTTAGCAAAGAGAAGCATCCATATTAGTGGTGCAGTCAGAGTAAATAACACACATGCTATGAAATTTATAAAAAAAATTTTCCAAGGAACTGTGTCAGTAAACATGTAGGAAGCAGGACAAGTTTACAAATTTCTTTCTGTCTGGAAGAAGAGATTCTGAGTTTAGCGTTACTGTCAGGCTGCCATCCAAGATGTGGCGATGCAGTTCTTATAGGCTTTGTGTAGCTGGAAATGTTAACAAAGTGAATTTTTGGAAAATGGAAATATTAAACATGATGCATGGATACTCAGAGCAACAATAGTACTGACTGATTTTATGCTAAAAGTTTGTAACTTCTGAAAGAGCAATGTATTTCCACTTTATCCTCTTACCTAGCTTATGTTTTTTCACTTACTAAAGAAAATCAGTTCCAAGAAAAACTGATATTAAAAACAGTGAGTTCATTTAAAATGTTGGTTAGGTGCTTGATAGGAAAGACCAGTCTAAATTATTACCAGACAGTAATATGAACATGACGGATGGCCAAGGACAGAGTTTGTGCAAATGAAGGCCAGTTAAGGGCGATTAGAACAGTAGTCAAACACAAAAGTAGTTTCCCATCAACTGTTACCCATAACATGTCAACATATCCTATCAGGCTGGCTCCTTTGAATTGGGAAAAAAATTGACAACCCTAAAGCAGAAAGAATTGGAGAGTACTTCTGTAACTTATAAACTCTCTAGTGACAGAATTTTATACTTTATTCCATCTTCAGCACCTATAACAAGGCCTTGCATAGTAGCATTAAATAAATATGTTTGGGTTTTATTTGGTATCTTTGATGTAACTTAACGGTGAGCAGTTCATGGTCTAAGATTGAATATCATGGTGAGCTCTTGGTCTAGAAGCTGGGTGAAGGGTGTCTTTTATGCTAAGAGGAATGAATACAGGTAACTAATGAACAAGATACTTTTTCTGTGTAATTGCCTAGTGATTTAAATGATATTTTAAAAGAATATGCCAAAAACTGATCAGCATGTTTAATGGCTGTATAGATAACCACACATTTTGGAAAACCAAGTTACTGCTAAAATTTTCAAAATAGGCGTGTACCTTATCTCTTCAAAGACCTGCTGTGTTGTTGTGATTTATAATAAGAATATATATTTGGTCTTCATCCCTGTTTCTGGCACAGAGCTCCCCAAACCCTTAGAATTTCCTATGTGTTGAGAATGATAAAGGTGTCTTTTGTCAGGTTAATGAGGTGGCTCTTGGAAAGTACCTAAGGATGGGGGCTACTTGCCATTGGAGCCAACCATGTGATTAGAAGGTTGGACCTTTCTGTCCCACCACCACCTCATGGGAGGGGAGAGTGGGTGGAGGTTGAATCAATCCCCAGTGTTCAATAATTTTATCAACCATGCCTTGTAATGAAGCCTCTATAAAAACCCCACAGGACAGGATTCAGACAGCTTCCTGGTTGGTGAACACTTGGAGCCCGAGGGAGAGTGGAGCCCCTGGAAAGGGTGTGGAAGCCCCGAGTCCTTCCTCACGCTCTGCCCTGTTCATCTCTTCTATCTGGGTGTTATAAATTCTATCCTTTTATAATAAACCAGTAATCTCATAAGTAAAATGTTTCTCCTGAGTTGTGTGAGCCACTCTTGCAAATTAATTGAACCCAAGAAGGGGGTCTTGGGAACCTCTGATATACAGCCCAGTCAGAAGCTCAGGTAACGACCTGGATTTTGGATTGGCATCCTGAGTTGGAGGGGGTTGTTGGAACCTCCAATTTGTACCCAGTTGGTAAAAGCACAGCCAACAGCCTGGGCTTGCAGCTGGCATCTGAAGGGGGCAGTCCCATAGGACCGAGCCCTGAACCCATGGAATCTGCTGTCTCCAGATAGTGTCGGAATTGAGTTGAATTGTCAGACACCCTGCTGGTGATGGAACATTGCCTGGTGGAAGTGGTGTGCAAACAGCCACCCCCTCACGACAAGTGAAACTAGGCACCCAGAACACAAAATACCTGCCAAGGTGCATCAAGTTAATGGGCTGGGGTTTCAGACTGTAACAGGGAAGCTCCTGCATGAAAGGCTCTGTGTTTGTATTCAAGGCTGTCATAGTTTATTATATAGAATTTGGCAACTGTTGACTGAACTCCACACATGCTCAGCATTTAGAATGCGTTTATTCAGTCTTACCGAGGCCATGACCTGGATGACAGTTGATTCGAGAGCTCTGGTCAGACTGCTCTGTCCATCTCTGTATGAAGATGGTTTATATGAAGTTTACAGCAGGGAAAGTTTACGTTAATTAGTACATTGAGCGTGTGTCAAGGTTTACACATCCTAAAAAGTACAGACTGGGCACATTCTGGTGCCATCTGTGTGCAGAGAGCTGGCAAGGGTTAGGATGGATCATTTTTCTCTTAAGAACTTTTTTGAGGACATGAAAACCTGATTCCCACTCAGTTTTGTTTTCTTTGGCCTTCAAGACCTTCTCCTTCTTGGTCATGGGCGATGGGCTGCAGCAGACAAGAGTGGCCACCTGGCACCTTCACAGCACGGTGGGAGCTGTCCTGGCTGACTAGGGCCTCTGCAACTCACAAAGCTCTCCTTTCGTGGGGAACCATAAAATTTCATTTTTATTTCACAAAATCAAGATAATATACCTCTATTGTGTCTACAGATTTGTCTGCCTTTTATTTTATTTCATTTTTTGCTATACATTGTTTACTTAATAAAGACAGTTTTTTAAAGATGATAATTACTGAGGATCCTATCATTTTGAAATATTCAGCCCTGTCTTTAAAATAATGGTGGACAAAAGACCTTCACAGACACACACACACACACACACACACACACACA